GAGTTTGGTACAAATGGGTAGAACGGTAACCGAAATACATATATGTGATCATAGGTGGGCGGTGCCACGCCCATTTTCCAAAATTTTATCATAGGCGTTTTTCCTGGTAAAGAAATGTTGCAAGCATCATTTTTGAATAAATTAGCTTTAATATTTACTGCTTTATCGAAGATTTCGTATTTCTCTAAATTACCGTTATATGGGATGAGGGCGTGGTTATTGTCCGATTTTGAAAATTTGCGGCGTTTGGTATGCTGTACCAAGGCCAACAACTGTGCTAAGTTTGGAAGAAATTGGTGCAGCGGTTACCAAGATATACACATTTAACTATAAGTGGGCGTGGCTGCGCCCATTTTCCAAAAATTTATAATATTCTTATTTTTCGTCTAAAAATTATTATAAATATCAATTTTGAGTGAATAATCTTCAGTAGTTACTAAAATATCGCAGTTTTCATATTTCTAAAAATTACCGTTATATGAGAGGTAGGCGTGGTCCGATTTTGCCCATTTTCAATACCATCCGTTCTACGCCCAAAAGAAGTGCGCGTCCAAGTTTCGTTAAGATATCTCAATTTTTACTCGAGGTATCGTGTGCACAGACGGACGGACGGACAGACAGTCACCGCTTAATCGATTTCTCTTTTCATTCTGATCATTTATGTATACATTTGTCTATATCTATCTCGATTCGTTTTGCCTGTTACAAGCAACCTTTATGTGAACAAAGTTATAATACCCTTGTGCACAACTGCGCTCAGGTATGAAAAGAAATATTTGGGAACCGACAGAAAAAATTAGCTACTTAGTAGTTTTGTTTACATATCTGTACATAAAATACTTTCCACTTCTCCTGCTTCCCAGAAAATATATTATACAAATATTTGATGTAAAAAATTGATTCGCTTAAGTAAATATACATACATAAACACAAAATTAAAAATATGTGCATATGTATACATACAATAAAAGTTGGCTCTTTATTTTCGGGCTGGGACGTGTCCCATCGTGCCGGGCCTCAATAAAATTATTAACGTGCGGGCTCGTGCGTGTTTTTGAAAGTTGATTTTGCACTCGTGCCGGGCTGGGCTTGAAAATTTAGGCCCGTGCCCATTGAGATATTTTAACGAAACCTGGTATGTGCACTTCTTTCGGGCGTAGGATGGATAGGGATGCAAATTTTGGAAGGTAACATCGATACATCGATGTTTCGATGCATCGGAAAAATTAACATCGATGCTAAAATACATCGCCAGAAAAACATCGATATATGGATGGTTTTCGATGTTTCACAATTTGTTAGGTTGTAGTCACATTAAAAGGAAAATTTAAAACTTTTCAATTACATCTCTCGGTAATTCAATTAGAAAAATACTTACATATGGATGCATTTCCCTGTATTTATTTACCATTCCTACACTCTTCCTATAAATAGAATAAAAATGCTTACCGTAGTAAGTTCGCTGAGACTAAAAATCCAAGGACCAACTTCGTTGAAATTTTAACGGGAACCCGGCACTTTTTTAACCATTAAGTAAGCATTTTATCGAAAGATGCGAGTAAACAAGGAATTTCTGAATGTTCCCCAAAAGCATAAGTAATAAAAATTCATGGCCAGTCNACTTTTTTAATCATTAAGTAAGCATTTTATCGAAAGATGCGAGTAAACAAGGAATTTCTGAATGTTCCCCAAAAGCATAAGTAATAAAAATTCATGGCCAGTCAAACAAATTTAGGAGCTTAATGGGTAAGTGGAATTCAAGTCTGAGTCACACTAAAGTCGATGTTAAAACATCGTTGAAACTGGCATCGACGTACGTTCGATTTAGCGATTTTAGGCAATTGTAAACATCGATGGCAAATATCGAATTTTGAACCGATATTATCGATGTTTCAAAAATATCGATGCTTCGTTTGCATCCCTAAGGATGGATGGTATTGAAAATGGGCAAAATCGGACAATAACCACGCCTACCACCCATATAACGGTAATTTTCAGAAATGCGAAAACTGCGATATTTTAGTAACTACTGAAGATTATTCACTCAAAATTGATATTTACAATAATTTTTAGACGAAAAATAAGAATATTATAATCTTTTGGAAAATGGGCGTAAGCACGCCCACTTATGGTTACATGTCTATATCTTGGTAGCCGCTGCACCAATTTCTTCCAAGCTTGGCACAGTTGTTGGCCTTTATACATCATACCAAATGGCCGAAAACTTTTAAAATCGGACAATAACCACGCCCACATCCCATATGACGGTAATTTAGAGAAATACGAAATACTCGATAAATCAGTAAATATTAAAGCTAATTTATTCAAAATTGATGCTTGCAACAAAAAAAAAATGCATTTATGCTAAAATTTTGGAAAATGGACGTCGCACCGCCCACTTATGATCAGATATATGTATCTCGGTAACCACCAATTTTTACCAAACTCGGTATGGTTATTGTGCTTGCCACATAAAAGCAAAACGTTGTAAATTATTGAAATCGGACTAAAATTACGGCCGCTTTTCATATAACGGTAAATTTCAGAAATGCTTGACCTTCAATATTTCGAAATTTAAGGACGCTAATTTAGTCAAAATTGATACTAAAAACAATTTCTTGAAAAGAAGTAACATTGTTTGGAATTTTGGAAAATGAGCGTGATATCGCCCACATATCTATGTGGGCAAATCTAAAAAACAGGTACACTCTCCAAAAAAAAATTTTAATTTTTAAATTTGTGAGCACACCTATGTTTTATATATCATTTTATTCGTACTCTCTTAATGAATCGATTAATATAAGTGCAATTCATTTTCATCAAGTGCTTAAAAAATTAGACGAGGAATAAACATGAAATAGAAAACAAAAGAATACGCAGGGTTCAAATTATGTTGTTCAAGTTGTAAATTTTGAGCAAAGATTTTGAAAGTTGAACTCACTTGATAAAATTCTAACCATTTTATAAATAACTCCCTCAGTTTTGAAGTTATTTTACTAAAATTTTGGACATAACGGTTTTTTAATATTACCTTAATTATTCCTTAAAATTATCGAAATGGGTGAACTTTAACGTATAGCTCCAATACAACTGATTACTCAGATATGTATTTTTGCGCTATAACTCTAATTTCATATCTGAATAATGCTTAATTGGAGGAGTTATAACGTAAAACAACGTCTCTGGACAATCAGTTGTATGGGAGCTAGATTTTAGAGTGAACCGATTTCGATGATTTTATGGGATAGTGAAGGAAATATTAAAACACAAGTGTGTGCAAAATTTTAGTAAAATATCTTCAAAACTGAGGGAGTTTTTTTTATAAAATAGTTCACATTTAAGCAAAGTTTCAAGTACCGCTATTTCCAAAAGTGGAGACAATCGGGCAAAACTGGGGACGCCATTGAATTTAAAAGGCTCCAATTAAGTAACAGCAACTATCAGAACCTTTGTCGAAAAAAATTTGAGTTGATACCACGCTCGAAATATTCTGACTACAAGAAGGAGCATAATGGAAAGTACTAAATCGGGGTTTTTACACACTTCTAGAGAACATTTTTTTGAAGCATTTTACAGGTATATGCAACGTTATAAGGACTAGTAGTTAATAAAAATATTTAGATCGTCTCGACGTATTTTCCAAATGTGCCTTCAATTAAGATATTTTTGAAATAAAAATTACGCTCAGATCTTTAAAATTTGGTTTATTCTGAAAGCACACCTCTTGCTATGGTGTCAAATTATACATAATTGTTTGTAGAATACAATACATACTTAAAAAGTTCTTAAAATTAAATGCTTCAAAAACTACACGCGATAAACCGAAAATGTTGAAAATGGTGAAATGCGAAGTTACAGACTTTGAGTTAATGGCCATTTCGTTATTTTTTAATGCACACTTACATACCTACTACATATGAAGTATACACATAAGTGCTAAATGCTCATTAAATTTCAAATCAGAATATGGTGTGCTTCCAAAGTTATGACATAATTAATTTTGCCCCTCTTAAAAATTACATAAAAAATTCACTTGTTTTCATTATTTTTTTAAATTTAAACACCTATAATTCAAAAGTTATGCAGCAAATTGATCCAAATTTTTTTTGAGGCTTCAAGTATAAGTCAGTGAATTATATCCAAAAGCAACCAGCTTGATATAGTTTCCAACAGTGAAAATAAAGCTAAATAACTCCAAGGTTACCTGTTTTATTATTATTATTACCTTCCTTTTATTAGCTCGGGATGTAACTATGTAATATTGATGCGCGTAAAAGATGCAGCGATTTCTATTCTCAAGTTACATACCTGATGACAGTACGAATGGCAATTATAATAGGGAGGTTTTAGTTTTTTAAACTATAATTTTATTTATTTAGATTTGCCCATATATATCGAAATGTTGTGTTCGTATATCACGGTCGTCAAAACTCGACAACGGGTAAACCGATTTTAATAATTTTTTTTTTCGTATTGTTCGGAAACATAATTAGCTCAGTTGCAGTAATTTATTTCAAATTTTGTACAATTTTCTAATAACATATTTTGTTGTGAAACATTATGTGAAAAATCTCATGCAAATCGATGCATCGATGTATGCCCTTCGACGCATCGAAAAATATCGATGTACATTTTGATGCATTGAATAAAAGAAAAACATCGATGTATTTTTGCCACTGACATCCTTATTCACCACTGTCCAGAATATGCTGCCTTTGCGCACTCTGTCTGCCAATTCTCTTTGATATTCAATGAAATAAATATATATAAGAATTGTAAATATTTAACAGTAACTTCTCCGTATAATGGCGAAACAGAATATGCTGCTATTATAGCCTTTCGGCTCTGTCTGCCAATTCTCTCTGAAATTCAAAGAAATAAATATATTTAAGAACTTTATTTATTTAACAGTAACTTCTCTGTATAATGGCGAAGCATCAAATTATTGTTTTATTTTTAGCTCTGAACTCATTTTTCTTTTTTTCTATCTTTACAAACAGGGGAAGACGGGCATGGACATAGTCACGGTAGTTGTGGTAACTCAAGTGATTATGATCATGACCATACTGACGAGCAAACAGATGCCGAGATTTTGTTGATGAACAGAGTACAGAATGCGTACACAATTCAGACTCCGATACAAGTGTTCCGTAGCCAATACCAATACCAGCATCACCCCCACAGCAGCCATGGTGTCAATGAAAGTAATAATTTTGCGCGCGAATTACAAATATTACGGCAAGCGTCTGAGAAGATAATACAAAATGACAGCAAAATTAATTAATTTACTTGATATTCGCTTTTAAGACCTAAATTGTAAAATATGTATGTATATATTAAAATTCAGTTTTTTTTTTGTACTGTGGCGATAAATACATAGTAAATGAGCGGAAATAAAACATTAAATAGTATTTGTACGAGTATATACATATGTATGAAAATAAAGGTGGCGCCTTCCGCGTACAACTGATCCTCTTTGTCCATTAGCTGATGTCACTAAAGTATTTTTCGCACTGCGGATGAAATTTAAATATTCAAATCAAGGCGCACCAACACAAGGTGGTGTTGATTGAACAGCTGATTGGATATTTTTGTGTCTACACTAGTACAGAAGAATGTCATACAAGACGAAATGGCGTAACTTTAGGATGTGAACAAAACGTAATGGCAAAAATCTTCTCCTATTCCCTTACGTTTTGACATCCTGATGTACCAAAAAGCAATAACAAAATACACGGGATTTTTACTTATATGCAATTGCCACCACCTTATATCGATTCGCCTTGATTCAAAAGTATCAATTTCCCGATAAATTTTTCCTGAAATTAGATAAATGCACCAAAAAAGTAAATACATTTTATTCTTATGTGTTTACATTTTTCATAGTGGGTAGTCAACCTCTCCCTTCATTACCATATCTACTTTTGAACTTCAAAAGAATTTCTCCTAACAGTTCAATACAAAACTATGTTTTAAGCAATCTCTATGCCCCTCTACAAATAAGGCAAGAAAAGTGTGCTTGTATCGCATATAAATATGTAACTGCAAATCTAAAGCGCTGAAGAGTTGGTACAATTTCACCTACTTTTATAGCTGCTGCACAACACTGCCGAGCGGCAAATTTTTAGTCGCGAATGTTCGTCGGAAAAAATAAAACATTCTAACGTATATGAGAACGCGCACAGCCAAAGCAAATGACGAAGTTCGCTCAGTTCTACGTTCCGGAATGACTCTTGTTTTACTCTACCAAGGGCTGGCGACCTTAGCCCGTTGAGATCGGAGAACCCCATCAACCGTTTTTCGTCCACGGATTGCTCCGCATCCTTCTTCTCCGCGCAGGCAATGAGTCCAACCCCAGGCCAGAAATCTACTTTTGCTGCGTTTGCCAGAGACGACTCAATCCGAACTCCACTTCGGTTTAGTGTTGCCAAATTTTTTTCCAGCCATATGGGACAAATGCATAATTTGTCCCAAAAATACGGGATGAACAAAAATTTAACGGGACAAATGAGAAATAAAGGATTTGCTCATTTCATCCCAGATGTAAAAATTTTTTGAATTTTTTAGTAAAACTTAGTACATGAGCTATTTTAGGCCTACAAACGATGGAGAAGTGATCAAAAAAATGTTAGTCACATTGGGCTTCCTAGGGTGGGCCGTTGCGAAAACGCAACTATTACCTTGGGCGAGACAATATACTAAAAAAGTTTGAAAAACACTCTGTTTAGGCAATTCAAACCTAAACTATATTTTTATTTACAAAAAATATGAAATTTAGGTTGTGTTAAATGAGTAATTAAATTAACTAAATATCTAATAAATAATAAATTTTTATGTCAATGTGGCTTATTACCATATTATTTTTATTATTTTTATTCAGCTTTGTACCACTATTGTTTATTAGGAAAAATTGAAAAAGCAACGCAGTCTAAGCGGTAGAAGTTATAGCAGCTATTTCGGAGATCACCACATCTCCTTATCAGACTTCTTTTCTCTCGACTTCAGCAGGGATTGAACCTGCGATGTTCAAAGTTAATTCATTTTCCTTATTCAACTAACTACCCTGCAGGGAAAGCTACTAGTTGTGAACTAGAATTCTACCGGTTTGCGTTTCAGCCGAACTAGTTCACGTTCTATCCTTTTTCAATGTTAGCGACTGGTATTTTTAACATTGCGATGTCCTACGAGATGTCAATTGTCAGGCTATGCATCAGCATCTACTAGTATAAATACTAGTAGCATCATACCAGTTGATGAGATAGTCTGCCAATTCATGCCCCGTGAAAAGCATAAGTGTGCCTTTTTGCTCGCGACGCTCCAGCAGTCACAATGGCCGACAGAGAAGAGCACTCGCGTGGTAAGCCTGAGGTCCCAGGTTCAAATCCTGGCGCAGGTAAAATTTTTTTATTTTCTATTTTTTATTTTATTTTTATTTTTTATAAATTTATTTTTTTGTTTATGCTGTTTATTGTAATTTTTTAATTTAATAAAAAAATATTTTTGTTTAATTTCTTTGTTTTTACATTTCTTCCTAAATGTTTTTTTGCAACGCAATTAGATTTTCAAATTTGTTATTTATTTATAAATTGAATAAATTATTTTTACTTACATTTATTTAACTTTAAAAATCTTAACCACCTCCAAGCGGCCTCGAACCTGCGATTTCAGAACCAGAACCAGTAGTCTTCACGTGACGCCACAGCCGACATTTGTAAGAAAAGCAATTAATTGCGTTTTATTTTTGGCTTTGGCAATTCAAAAGCAGATGTCGCCTAAGTTCTTCGAAATTGTCGAACTGGTAGGCACATACTAGTTAATGAACTAGTATTTTTTCTAACTGGTTTGGCTTTTCACTGCAGGGTACTATCAAGTGCAGCTGATTTGCCGCTATTTAAACTTGACAGCGTGGTTCATGTTGTCAATTCTATACATCCATTTGCTTATTTACTTTATTGTATAGTTTCAGGCAGGCGCTTCCTAAACTATGTATTTGTCAATGTTATTGTGGCTTATTAATATTTTATTTTTAATACTTTTATTGAGCTTTGTACCACGATTGTTTATTAAGAAAAATTGAAAATGCAACAAAGTCTAATCGGTAGAAGTTATAGCAGCTATTTCGGAGATCACATCTCCTTATCAGATTTCTTTTTACAAGCTTTTATTTAACTTGGTCATACCGCGAAAATTTCCAATCGATTTTAGACTAGCTTCCCGACAAGGTAGAGACTTGAAATTTTCAGCATAATTCCAACCATGATGAAAATGCAATTTAAAATATAAATGAATTCCCTATATGGTCCAGGAGTCTGGATACAAAGGCGGTCAAAACATAGTAAAATTTATGGCTAACAGAGCGTAATTTGCCAAAGAACGTAAAAGCACTATAAAATTGTTAAAGATACCGGCGGTAGTAAATAAGAAGTAAACTTGCAGGCGCTAGTAAGGAAATCAACTTCAACAGTGTTTAAATTGCCAAACTGTTATTTATTTTTGTTATTTCGCTAATACAAAAGCAAAATAGATTCTTAAGATGTATTAGGTTCGATTACGCAAACAAATTATAGTTGATAAAATGAAATAAAAACGGGTTAAATAAAACGAATACTTAAAACTAAACAGTAATATTAATCGCGTTACATTGTAGATTATAAAAGTTAAATTTTAAGCATTTCTGTTAAGGGGTACATTATTTGGTTTCCTCACACAGGGAGTTATGGAAATACAGAGATACAACAAAAGCCACGCATAAGTTGTATACACTATTGAAATTAGAAAATTTTAGTTGACAAAAAGAAGTACACGCAAAGGATTTCACAAAAATGAATTGAAATATTACTTTGTTTAATCAAAAATGGCTCGGTTTGATCCAAGTTGGCAGCCCTGTGTACGATGTGTTTCTTCTGAATACTGTTAAGGCAATGTGGATAATGCTGCATAGTCGTGTGCGATGGGATGTTAAAGGTAAACGGAAAATAACTGCTATAAATTACATACCGACGTGGTCAAACGGCTTAGGTCCAATTTCAGATGGCCTACTTAAGTAGAGATTGTTGATTAACTTTCACTATTCATTTTCAGATCATACATTTAATCTGAACTTAAATGGCCAATATTGGCTATTTAAATATGAGATATGCAACCCTGGGTTTGTACCAAACAACCAAGATTGATTGGTAGGTTGTTTAATCAATCCAACTAAATCCCACCAAAAAACAATCAGCTGTTCAGCACAAAATGTAATAGGGCATTCGCACGAGGCGATTTTACAGGCAACAAAAGTTGAATACGAAGTTGAATGAGAAGTTGAAAGTGAAAAAGTTGCCATCCCTATTCAGACGAGGCGATTTTCGATTCAACACGAATCGTTATTTACATTATTGAAAATGAATTTAAATCGCAAAATTTGATCAATTGGCATAAATTTGGTAAGCCAAGCGTTGGTAGAAGTGCTTTTAGCGAAGCTGAAAGATAAAATAAGAGTAAAAAAGTAAAAAAGAAAAAAAAAGTATGATACAGAACAGTGTTGGAATTTTTGGTACAATTGTACTTGTTTTATACAATTTCATTTACAATATACTTTCCTACTACGCAGTACTTTTTAGTAAAATTTTGTAATGAATACTAAAAATATATAGCTCTGAAAATTCACAGCAAGAAATTTTTTGTGTTCTCTTTGGTTCGCCTGTTCGTATTTACCTTAGTAAGTTTTGAAAAATGGCTTCAACGAACCAGTATAATATAGCCTAGTCAAATTTTTAAAGAAACTTTCGATACTAAGTTTTATTAAAACAAAATGTCGAAGTCAGCTTCATATAGAAACAAAGTCTTCGTTAGTTATAAGAAGAGATTTTCGTAAATATAATACCTTTACGGCACTCACATATTGACAAGATTTTACTATTTATTTTATTATTCTTTAATTTTAATTATCTGTTTATAAAATATAATGTATTCTTTAAGAAAAACTGTACAAACCTAAGATTAAATCTTTGCGAAACATCCAAAAACCAACATACTTTCGTAAAAATTTCGAGCTTTATTAATATTCTTTAGTTTTTAGCCCATTCAATTTTAGTATAATAAAGTTCAAGTTTAAAGTAGCTGGGACTTACCGTTGAACTTGGAATTTTTTTTTGTCGACGATGTCAGCCATTTTCTTCCATACGAAGTGTGCCCGACGATTTTTTTATATGGAGAAAACTAGCAACACCTTCATCAAAGAAATCTTAAAAAACTTAGTTATATTAAAATTTAATGGGCTAAAAAACCGCACGCTCAAAATAAATCTAGGAAATCGAATTAAAAAGCTCGAAATTTTTACGAAAGTGTGTTGGTTTTTTTTAATGTTGCACAAAGTTTGAACCTTGAATTTGTACAGCTTTTCTTAAAATATAAACCGTATTTTTACAAAAAATAATTAAAATTGAATACTATTAAGATAAATGGTCAAATCTTGTCGTAAAGTTTTGATAAGCACTTGAAATGCTATTAAAATG